CTTTTTAGCATCTAAATAAGGTAGGTGAGCACATCTGGGAATTACCAGTTACTGCAGGGAGCACGTTTTACTGTTTCAAAAAGAAATCTTGACCGTTTATACTGAATCACATTTTGTGTAATCATTGTAGATAAGGAAGAAATAAACAAAGCTGGCAGAAAATCACAGGGTCAGCACTGCAGTTAGTTATTGTTTGTTCTCTTCTCCCACATGGACGGATAACGAGTGTTTCTGCCTCATTTAGTCCTATGGTTGATAGATATATGTGGGAGTGTATGGATGTATCTGCTATCCCTGCTTGAACAGACTTCACTTTTGTTTATTTCTTTATTATTTTTTGGTCTTTCTTTTGAAAAACTAACATTAAGGAGAAAATGTTTTAATTAGGCAACTGAGTGGCTCAAAGGGCACAGGATGGGCTGCAGCATTCTCCTCCACCCATAATAAAAGCTCTAATATGGCTGTCAACTGCTTGAAACTATTCTCACACATTCTCATTTCAGAGATTGTGCATACGGGGGGCCGACAACTTTCACTTCTGAACTGGACTGCACTTTGGTAGCTGGGAATTATGGGTCTCTAGCTATTTTTGTCCATTTGTGAAGTGTTGATAATACTTGGCTCTCTTGTTGGGCTGTCATGAAGGCAGCAGGCTTGATTTAGGACTGAGAAAATGCAGAGAATCCTCTATGATATTCTTGGAACAGCATTGTTCTGGCAGCCTCCAAAAGTGCCAAATGCTTGTAAGAAATTAAAAAAAAAATATCAGTGATGCTGGGGAGGGCAGAAGGGAGAGGGACAGAACTGGGTAGTTTGTGAGCTCCAGGATTTTGTGGAAGTACTTTCCAAACTTCAAATTGCTGCTGGTCTGTGACGTGATGGTAAAACATGCAACTGGTCCCTGTATCTTGTATAAAAGACGCATTGTGGACATGTTAAGTGTAATAATGGACTGTGAGAAATTATGGGGGTTGCTGGCATTCTAATGCGAAAGATTTGAATTAGCTGGGGTGGCTCTGCTCCTCCTAAGGTGTTCCACGTGTGGCCCCGCACATCAAAAGTCCTGATGGGGAGGTAGGAATTGATTGGCTGTGTAGGGTCAGTGCCTCTAATGAACAGGTCCCAGCTGCTTCTGAGGAAGGAATCAGGTATGTGATGTGTGTGTTGGGAAAGTTTCCTTTTCCTACTGTTCCTTTTTTCTACTGCTCAGCAAGGAGCAATTTTCTGGCACACATGTATGTTCTTGCATGCGTGCACACACACAGTAGAACCTCTGTTTCACAGGACAGAAAATAGTAGATTTCGTGACTATTTTTTATTTCTAAAGGATCTTTTTGGATGATTAGTACTGCCACAGGAGCACCTTCAAACAGTAATGGCGTGTGTTTTCAGAAGTGGCAAGCAATGGGAAGAGCCTCATTCTGGGAGATAGCTTGAAAAATCCTCTGAGCAGCCTGACTTTTTTTTGAGGCTGTTTTCATAAAAAACATTGAGTGTCTGGGCTCCCAAAAATCAGGCTAGTGTGATGTGTCGGGATGGGCAAGTGAGGTGGCTTGTGGTATCTGGAAACTCTGGCTAGCCTAAAGCAGGTGGGCGTGGGAGATTAACATTCACTTCCAAATTCATAAATGTTCACACCTCTGGGTGAACACCAAGTAGAATGGGTCTACTTTCTGGTGCATCATATCCATTTATTTGAGAAGGTAAACCAAGGAAAACGAACTGCAGAGAGGGAGCTGTTCCTTTGTGACCTCAAGGAAATGGTTCCTAGAGATCTGACTTGCTTTGGGTCTTTCCTTGCTTTTGCAAAGTGCTCATCCTTAACCCCTCTTCTATTAGATGATAAAGCATGTGGTACCTGGTGAAGCTCCTGCAGGTCATGAAAACAATTCCTCTTTGAGTGTTTAAAATCCCTTTTGTGATTCCTATTGTTGCCTCGTTGCCAGGAACTATTCTATGGGGAGCTGTTTCATGCCCTACCAGCCCGTGGGCTGACGTTTCTCAACCTTGACAGATGAACTTGTGGCTGAAAAGCCATTGCTGAGGACCGTTACTTTCCAAGGTGATGTGGTCCTGGTTGCTAGATTGTTTTCTTTGAGTACATTGACTCATTAAGCAATCTTCTGATGACATCCAGGACCCTTTTTCACATACTGATAGATGCTGTGAGTGCGGTGTGATGGTCACACCTCCTTCTAAAGAAGAACCTTGGTGCCCCTTCTGTTTTGGTTTGAACTTGCAGAGATGGGATGGGATCAGTGGGAGGAGTGGGAAATGCTGTTTCCTACTGGGTTTGCCCTTGGACTGGGCTTGAAGAACTGGGGTTTAGGTTTGGTCCTGCCCCTGATTTTTCTGGCTGACTCTGCTGACGTCAGTTCCTCTCCCTGTGGTTTAACTTTTGCTATTTAACTGTGCAGTTTACTCTGGAAAAATAGGCTATGTGAGAGCGACGTGTTAATAAGTAGCTCTAGGAATAGAAGAGTCACTGACTCTGTGCTGAATATGATAACCTTAAACTACAGGACAGCACAGTATTGGGCACTGAGGACCTTATCATTATTAGTGTCACGTTTGCTCTCTGACTGAGATGTTCGTAAGCCAAATTCTATTTGGCCAGCAAGTAAATCTTTTATTTTATTTTTATTCTTTCAAATGAGAAAAGTTGTTCATGCTTAGTACTAAATTATCATTGGGTTAAAAAACAATCAGGAACCACGGGATTTTGTTGAGTGCAGCAATAGCAATGTTTTAATTATGTGAAACTCAAACCATATTTTCTCTTTGCTTGAATCTAATATATGGGCTGGAGGCATGAAAGCTATGAGAGTGACAAAATTACTAAAGAGTGATAGCCCCAGCCAGGACTGTTGGATGATGGGGTGTTTTGACTTCCTCATTTACGACACATGGAAGGGAATGTTCGGTGGATTTTTTTCCTTTCTTTTAAAATAATTTTCAAGCTTAGTGCTTACTGAGGACTAGGTCCCATTTGGGATCTGTTCTGTCAGTCCAGCATTTGAGCCTTAGGTCTCCAGAGCTTCTTGTTCCTTTGGATGGCTTTGATTTCTTTCCAGTTCTCTTTCTCATAGACTTGCAGTGCTCCCACCCACTGCTGACCAGTACCATTCCTGAGCAGGCCTCTGCTCCTCTGTGTGCCTCTTGAGGAAATCAGTAGCCCTGAGATACTATCAGGGTGGCTTGACAGGACCCTTCTCTGCACTTTGCACCCACTTGCAGTGTGAATGCTTTTCTAATTGTCAAAGAAGAGACAGTGCCTTGAGGTCTGTGACCCTGCTTGAGCCTTTCAGAATGAATTATGGCCTTTCATCTACTCCGAGGGTCACGTTCTCTTTGTAATTGCACTGAAGTGACTTTCCACTACATTTGGTACATGCATGCAGACATGCCATAATTTTTTCTGTAAGACACAGCCTCCCCATAATTACAAGGAATATGTAAGCTTGCCTGCCTCAAATATGGCATTGGGGTGCTCTCTCTCATTAAATCAACATAAATCTTTTGATGTAGACTTGGTGGTTCCCTGCTGCATTTTCTCCCTCGAGTAAAGAACAGAATTTCTCTTTGTCAGTGAAAGCTTGCTCCATTTGGATAATTCTCTTTGTTTGCCATACTGGTGCAAACTGGTGGTAAGCTTACAAAGACCTGTGACACAAATATGAGTGCTGGAATTATCTGATGGGGGACCTGTGTTCAGTGTCCTCTCCCTCACAGAAGCCTGGAGCATATTGTATAGGAAACGCAGACCTTTTTGAGCTCCTGAGGTGTCCTCTTTCACTGCTTACAACTTTGATTGTCTTACTGCTTTCAGGAGGTCCAGGGATTTCTTCTCTTCCCTCACATTGAATTCTTCAGTAAATAGTTCCCTAAAAATGCTCCAGTAGAAGCGTGGGTCCTGTATGGCCAGTTTTTAGCCTCCTGCTATGTATTTTCCAGGTATCTGGAGGCCAGGCTGGGTATCACCAGGCTGCAGTTCCTCTTGAGGCTTCTTAGATTTTGATTTTAATGGTGTCTTTGATAAAGAGTTTTACAAACCCCGCTCAGTTGTTTTCTGTAGGGTGGGTTCAGTTGTAATGTGTGGTTAAAAATGACAGTCCTGCCTTTCTTTGGATGAGATTAACCCTTGATGTAGTTCCCAATGATTTTTGGTATTTATACTTACATTCATTTTCCATCTGTGCGATGGCAGCTAGAGGCAACATTTTGTCTTTGCATGTGGGTAGAATTTGCTCACTAACTCCATGTTGCTACAAAAGTTTTCCCTTTAAATCCTCTAAGCTATTTGCACTACTCCTCATTAGTGTATTCTGTGTGTTTCTGTCATTTGATTTTGTCTCTTGCTGCATTTTTCTTGTACCTAAGAAAGCCTTAAAATAGGAATTTTTGGAATCGAAAAGGACTTGAAAAAACGTTGCAGATTACTATTGGTTTTCTAGTGGCTACTGTTTTCATTGCTGTGTTAATGTAGAGGCTTAATGAGCAAGTTTGACTCCAGGGCAAGGCTGAGTGCTGCTCTGAACAGCAGTTTCCATCTAGGGTTCCTTTGAAACGAAGCATTTGCTAACCTGCCAGCTTTTATTTTTGTTTATTTGTGCCTACTGTATTCAGGGCACGGTAAAGGGTACAGTCACGCAAAGGGCTGCCTGAAGACTTTCAGAGGCTGAAAGTGATGCACTCAGAGCAGCTACTAAAGCATATTTTGGATATTAATGCTTAAATCTAGAAATGGCGTAATCTCTCCCCTCCCCTTTGACCTTTTCTTTTATGTATCTGCATTCGACCAAAAGCCACCACTCCTTCTCCTATAGAGTGACTCTACCAGGGTCTAGAGAATGTTTTCTACCAGAGCAACATAAGTGTTGGTGAGGACATGCATCCCGGGATGCTGTGCTTGGCTAATTGCTTCAGGGGGGTATTTGCATTGCAAACACCTTCCCTAGAGAGTGCGGGGTCTCACGTCTCCTCTCCCTTTTCTCTTCCAGGGCCAGGCCTGCGTCCTCCTCCGGAGGGTTCTGCTAATTCCTGAGATGAAGCTCGTCATGACAAAGCAGGAGTGGGAGGAATTGATCAGAGAAAGCATCAGCCAAGCGACAGAGGTAACAAGCTTCAACATGTTCAATGTATAGATAGCACCTAATGGGTGCTGCTTTTGCCAGCGTGGTGCTTGTTCTCTGAGTGGGAGTCTGCGGCTGGGCTGGGCTTCACTCATCTTGGAGGGGTTGTGCCTGCTCGCACCAGGTTCTGAGCAGTGTCCACCAGGATTGCAGCATTCTTGTGACGCCCCCGTTTAGGTGTATTTTCACAGAGTGCAAGAAATACGCCTGGTACAGCTCGCCGGTGCCTGTGCATGGATCCAAGAGACAGAGCTCGAGTTTTAGAGAATACTCTCATGCAGATCAATTTAAAGCGGTTTTAAAAAATAAGTTTTGAACTGAAGGGTCTTGTGAACTTTTATTTGATTTCAGAAAATGTTATGGAAGTTCTGTATTTGAATGAACTTCAGGGCCAAAGGGACAGAGCTGAGGTGCACTATACCTAGTGCATTGCAGATTCTGCACCAGACTCCCTTGCTAATATTGTTTATCGGGGAAACCTTACAATACGTTGGAAAATAATTTGGGCAGAAAAAATAGTGACAGAAATTGCAGGGCACCTGATTCAGTGGCAAGTGTGGAGTGTACCTGAAGACAGTTTTTGGGTGCAGCTGTTATGTGGGAGGTGATCTGTGGGGCAGGAGACTGAAGAAGCAAATGCCATTCAATTATATTCTTGTGGATTGACGTGGGGGGAACCAAGCAGCTAAATTGATGTTATGGTGTGGTAACTAAACTTGATGACATGGGAGACTTCAGTCTTGGTGTTCCTACGTAACTGTAGTATTGACTTCTGTCTAAGTGTAGCTTTCATTCTTCACTTACTTCTTTAAATGCTGGTTACATGATAATTTAGGCCCTTCTGCAATTTACCATATTGGAACAGAACGATTAAGTCTGTTTTCCTTTGTCAAGGAGGGGTGAAATCTAACCAAGTTTAAATCAAGGTATCGGAGGTACTGTTTATAATTCTTGAGGCAGCAGGTAATCCTGGGTTTCATTAAATAGCTTTTATTTAATGGTTACGTCAGGAATCCAATAGGTGGAGTTAGGTATGATTTTATTTTCCAGCTACATAAAACATGCCACTCCTTCCAACCCGGCCATCTCCATGTTTCTGTCTGGCAGCTGGATACCTTCAGGACTCAGTGATTCACAGGGAAACCACAAACATCTAAAGTGCCTTTATGTTGTTCTTGTCAGGGAAAGTTTAGCAACTTGCAGCCCATTCAGTATTTTAATGAGCTTTGCTACCAGAGCTTCCTCGGTGCCTCTCATTTCTGTGGTCATCTATGTTTAAAGAAGAATTCCTGAGAAATATTGTCAGTTTGTTTGGGCTGTCCAAGGTATACCCTGCAGGCAGGAGGCCTCCCATACTATTAACTGGCAGTGGCATATAGGTGCTAGTTCTCTTCTTGGCCTGAAAAAGCCCTGACATAACATTTTTACAGAGTGCTCTGTTGGTGGACGTGTATGTATTGGTTTTTGTCTCCCTCCTGCTCCGTCCTTGCACTAACACAGTGGTGTGATTTCTTGGAACTGGGGTTGCAGGTAGTCTGTGTCTTTTTGGTGGCACAGAAATGCTCACTTACCTGAGTTATAGCTGTGAAAACGTGCAGTGGCTCTACAGTGCCGTAGAAAAATACTCATATCATGACCGATCTCTTTTGGAGAGGGTAAAATCCCTTGTAGCAGAAGTCAGAGCAAATTTAGAATCTGGAGAAAGTATGTGTTTGTCAAAGAGGGTAATCCACCATTAAAATGACTTGCTGAAGAGTTTATTAGCTCAGATCTCCAGGTGGGGACTGTGTGCCTGACTGAAAGAGGAGCTGCAGGCTGGGTGGAAGTTACGGGCTTGATGCTGAAATTATGGGTTGAGTTTGCTTGGACTGTGTTAGGCAAGAGCTTGGGCTAAACTATAGCCCTTTCTGTCCCTGATGTCCCCGTGTGCCTCTGATTACCCCAAGGGCATGGAGGTCTGGAAGTTACGGGCTTGATGCTGAAATTATGGGGTGAGTTTGCTTGGACTGTGTTAGGCAAGAGCTTGGGCTGAACTATAGCCCTTTCTGTCCCTGATGTCCCCATGTGCCTCTGATTACCCTGAGGACATGGAGGTAGTTTGCAGAACTGAGAGTTTCTCTTGCAGCTCCCTCTTGTCCCTTTTCATCTGAGACTTGTTTCGGTGGGCCGTTCCGGGTCACCCACGATTTTGGAGGTGGGCATGTAAGTAGGTAAATGTTGACTTGTGAATGCTTACCCATGAGAACCTTGACTGTGAGCAGTAGTTCATGATCCTGTGGAAAATGATCAAGCTTTATTGTCCTGGATCTAGTTGAAAGGTCTGCATTTGCTATCACTGGCCACTCCTGCCACCATCCCTCACAAATAGCTGTTTTAAGAGGAATAAATGATAATGCAGAATTTTATACCTTTCTTTGGCCCAGGGAGAAGTCTGAAATAACCTGGGAGGGCCAACTCTTTAACTGCCTATACTGATGTGCAGCTGTAATTCAAGCAGCAATATTGTGTACAGGGAAGCTGTCACCTGAGGGCTTTGCTCTCTGTGTCCTTGGTTAGATTTCATAGAATCATAGAATGGTTTGGGTTGGAAGGGAGCTTAAAGATCATCGAGTTCCAACCCCCTGGTTGGAAGGGAGCTTAAGGATCATTGAGTTCCACCTTCCACCAGCCCAGGTTTCTCAAAGCCCCATCCAGCCTGGCCTTGAACTCCTCCAGGGATGGGGTAGCCACAGCTTCTGTGGGCAACCTTCTCAGGCTCTCATCACCCTCACAGCAAAGAATTTCTTTCTAGTATCTAATCTAAATCTCCCCTCTTTTAGTTTAAAAACATTCTGCCTCGATTTGCAGGTGTGGGGCTGGTAGCTCTGGAAGTGCAGGGTTGTCATTGGAGGGGTAAGGCTGTGAGGGAGGGTGGGATGCTGTCTCCTGATGTTGGCCTTCTTGCCCTGTCTTGCCTCGGTGATCGCGTTGCACACCTGCAGCTCACTTGGTGGGGAGCAGGGAGCCTGAGATGGTTTTAGGCAGTGAGATGTGCCAGAACTGGGGAAAAAAGCAATGTGAGAAAACTACAGCCTTGGATATCATTGAATTATGCCTGCAAAACCAAGAGGCATTTGAGGGAGAATCAACGACCAGGAACTTTAAATGAAGAGACAGCTTCCTGAAATAGCAGCTCTGGCTGCTGCGAGGCAATGGCTCTCAAGCTTACATAAGCTAACTTGACCTTATTTGTTCCCCAAATGTTTAAGCATGCTTATAAAACATATATCACAGTCATGAAGGATTCATATTTGCCATCTCCTTAGTGTCAGTGAGGGAAGTCTTGCTGGAGCATCCCAGCAGGAACTTTGGAGTTGACTTGTTCTTGTGAGAGCCCCGCTTGCTGTGGGTGCTCTTGGCTTGTTCTGCAGGATCACCTGCAGAAAGCCTTGTCCACATGCCCTGGGACTGAGAAGGTGAGGAAGCAGAGACATAGCTCTGGCAGAGTTTTGGCCTCCCATGTCTTAAGTATTTGCTTTACACAAAGCAGAACCTTGCTGCAGTTGATCAAGTTTATTCTAACGTTGGGAGTCTAAACGACTCAGTTGTGTTTACAGTATAAAGAAATTGAGTTGCTTAATGTTGTAAATGAGAGAGCTCACCTGAGATGCCAGAGCATCTGATAGAGACTTCTTCCTCATCGAGAGCTTTGTTCTTTTATCAGTAGGTCTCAAAGCGCTTTACAAAGGAAATTCTAACCAGTGAGTTGTTGATGTAATGAAGAAAGTATTTTGCAGAAACCCAAGAGCTAATGCCTTCAGTAAACTAAAGTTGTTCACCCTGTTTTACAGATGACACGCTTGGCTGGGAGCTGAGCCAAGAATCAAACTTGGGTCTCCTGAGACATCCCGGAGACCCCCTTTGTGCATGGACAATCTGACTGTTTCTTAACTTGGCTTCAGAACAGCCCAGTGCGTTGGATAGCGATCTCTGTCCCTGTGTTATCTAAGAAGGATGTGGGTTGTTTGGAGTTCAGACTGCCCGGAGTCATGCAATGAGGCCAGGGGCAGAACCTGAGAGGGCCAAGATTCCCCGTTTTACGCAGGGAACCGTAGCCCAGTTTTGGTGATGGGTCTCTGTGGGGCTGCTGGGGCTCACACACCATCTTTTTGACTCTATTGAGCTCCTCTCAGCTTGGTCTTTCAGTTCTCCCAGTTGTCATTGTGGGCACGTTTGGGTGTTTGTTCCCCTTGTTAGATATATTTCTATTTTCTTTCCGATAGGTTACAAAATTGCTGTCTTGGCTTTAGAGTGATCTTGAAGCTGGGCCAATTTTTTAGTAACTCATTGACAGATTTGGGGCAGGAAGCTCCGGGATCTGAATACAGGGTTTCATTACCTTTTTTTGTCATCCCTTTCCCAGGGACTGGCTTGCCCTCCTGAACTGAGGTGCTTTGTGTAACTCCTGACTTAACGCCGAAACTCCTAGTTACCAGGTGAAAATAAGGGGAAGCGGGGAAGGATTTTGAGGTCTATTCCAGAAAAAGTATATTTTCACGGCTGAGCAACTTGAAAACAAACAGCCCTTGGAAAAACTGTGGAAAAACCTGCTTTCTCTGGCTTGTACACAGCAGTTTCCTGAGGGTTTCCTTTGTCTGTCTTCTGCAGTAAGTACATCATAGGAAGGGCCCAACTTTACTACTATTTTTTCCTTTGCTTGTTTTGTCAATGTCACATCCTGCATAAGGGACAGGCAGAGCAGATAGTGCTCAAGTTGGCTGTTGGAAGCCAAAATGAGCTCAAGGCAGCCTGGAATGTAAAAAATGCTCACAGAATCTGATAGAAAACTTCAGGGCAAGGCTGAAGCACTTCCAGTCACCAGTATTGGAGACTTTCAGATAAATATACACATAATCCTAATGAGACACATCTGATGCCTCCTTCCATGCAGGTTTTTACTTAACTTGGACTGGGCAGGCAACTATGTTTCTGGCATGAAAGAC